TACCAGATTTCTTACCACGTGCAATGGTCATGGCACCTCTAGAAACTTTTCACGAGTTTCCATTGAAGGTTGTAACAAAACCTTCCTCCGATAATTGTCCTACCGAAATTAGATTCTTCCTCAAGTCAGGGATGTGTCTCACATCCATTCAACTAGATTTGCACTTTACCTTTGCCAACAACACTGCAAGGCTGATCATCACCAAGATACACCTTACCAAGGTTACCCGGTTCATAGCTACTAAATAACTATTTGCTTAAGGTGCCATGAAACGATGCGCCGGAATCTAAAACACATGACTCCATCTTGCTCGCTAAAAAGCATATCAATGCATCATCTGATTCTTCTGAGACAACGTTTGCTTCAGTTTTTCTTTCAGTTCCCTTCTTTGGAAGTCTGCAATTAACACGGTAATGTCCCTTCTTTCCACAATTCCAACACTCAACGTTACTGAGAGCTGTGGAATTCTTCAAATTTTGAGACTGTGTTATTCCATTTTTTTTACTTGGATCTGCCTCTGTTTTTATTACCGTTGCCCTTCTTCTTATTTGAACCCTTACCTCTACTTTCAACATTTAATGCCAAACCACTAGTAGAAATCCCTGTTGTTTGCTTTCTGATTTATTCAGTCAGAATCATGCTCACAACTTCATTAAATTTCAACTTGGTCTTCCCTGCAGAGTTACTGATCACTGTAATTGTGCCACTCCAACTCTCGGGTAACTGCCCTAGAATTAGCAATGCTTGGACCTCCTTTTTGAAGTCAATATCAACAGACTTTAATTGCCCAACTATCTCGTTAAAGGCATTTAGATGTTCGTTGAACTTACCACCATCGACCATCTTCACGTTGAACAACTTCTTGATCAAATGCACCTTGTTCGCTACAGAAAGCTGTTCATACATACTAGAAAAGGCTACCATGAGAGACATCGTCGTCTTCTTATTCTTGATGTTGAAGGCGACTGACTTTGACAACGTCACTCTTACAGTGCCAAGAGCTTTCCTATCAAGTAATTCCCAATCCGCATCCTTTGTATCCTCTGGCTTCTCTCCCAAAGGTTGATACAAATATTTCTAAAACAAAAGGTCTTCAATTTGCATCTTCTAGAAACCGAAGTTTGTGCCATCAAACTTCTCGATCATAGATGTGGATGTTTTATCTTCTGATGCCATTACTCCGACTCGAATAGACAAATCTAATTAAAAGACTTTCGGAATTTCGTCAAACACCTTCTATGCCCTAGGTTCTCAACCAAAGGCTCTGATACCAGTTGTTAAAGTTGCACTGTACAATCAATCGGATTTGATACTAGTTGTTGTGGCGGAAACGCAAAATAAACAACACTGATCAAGGAATAAACAAGTAATCACGAAGAATAAAAAAAATCACACACAATAACACAAGATATACATAGTTCACCCAAATTTTAGGGTTACGTCTATTGAGCACACCGAACAAATTCATTATGAAGAAGATGAAGAATTACAATGGAGAATTTTCTCTCAATCTCTCTCAATTGCTCTCTCTTGTATTGGCACAAATTTATCTCTAACTTTCACACTCTTTAAAATCTTATTAGAGTTGATATTTATAGAGTCCCAAACTTGTCCTACAAGAAGTTTCCTTTTGTAAAATCAAAAACCAATAAGAAAGTTAAATCAAATCAGGAAACTGAATTTTCCTTACACCAATAAGGAAGTTAAAGCAGATCAGGAAACTGAATTTTCTCTAAACCAATAAGGAAGTTAAACCAGATCAGGAAACTAAATTTTTTCTAAAATTCAGTGTTCTTGAAGTTTCTATATAATTAAATATTGCTAAAAAATAATTACTTAATCAGATTCCACAAAATCACAATATTAACCATATAATAATTTTACAATAGACTACTAATATAATAATAGAAATTATGAAATGCAAATAATATTAAAATGGGTAAGAAAGTGTTGGCCGGATTGTTGATACATGTGCATTGACCTAAAGCTGATCGATAGTATCCTCCCCTTCTTGCGGATATTGGTGAAATTAGGCAGCTCTAAGATACAATCCAATCAGCTCGTAGTGGCGTCTCCTCCATGTGTACGACCACAAGAAATAGGTCCAAATCTATATATGTCTTGTTGCTCACAAATTTAATATGTAAAATGGTATACAATACTATCTCATGGAAAACATAGATGCAGAAGAATAATATGTAGATAATAGAATAAAGAGAGATGAAAGCTTCTCGACTCTCACCCACCATATATTATCATTCATACATAAACCACTAGTACGTAAAATAAATAAATAAATGAAAAGTCTTCCTCTTTATACAGAATGATAATTACAGAGTTTTTCACACTTAATATGATATTAAGTAATAATAAAATGATCAAATTAAATACAATCAAATATAGTATTTAATATATTATAAATGAATATATTATTTATTATATATTTATTTACTTTTATTAAAATATTTCTCAACCTGGATTTATTCTCCCTCAACCTCCTTTCTTCTCCCCATACCCTTTTCTTTGTATCCTTTCCTACTCCCTTAATTCCATGGCATCAATTGATTTGGTTTTAGTTTCACATTCCCTTAATTGAGTGGAAATCCTGTGATTCTTCATTCTATTCTTCTATATTAATATATAATAGAAAGCATTACAGCATGGAATCTCTTTAGTTATTTCCATTCTTCCATTCTTTCTTGCTATATGAAAGGGTAAAACAAGTATGTCATCTACTGCATATCTCCGCATCCCAAATGCCTGTTTTTTTGTGCTTGTCCAAGGTGGTGTCTTTAAACCATCTTTTCTTCCGATTTCAGTATTCTTCATCCATTTGGAACCATAGTTAAACATGCTGTAGGTTTTTTTTTATATATATATATGTGATGTCTGACATCTCTTGGGGAAAAAGGTTGTTGACATTTATATGTGTGAGTACTACCTCCTAACTGTGTAGACGTGTTTTAAGAAAAATAAAGGAAATGTGCAAAGTGGACAATATCTATACGGGTGGGACAGGTCATAACAGATGGTATTAGAGCCAACCTTAGCCGGAAATGGGAGGAGCAAGCATACGCCCATGAGGGTCATAATAGTGCTACGTTCCAAGATAGTGTAATTGTGACGTCCCATATCGCCAGCTTAAACATCCCTAACTGTGTAGACGTGTTTTGAGAAAAACTATAAGTACCGAGAGAATAGCCTGCAAAACAGATAATATCAACACGTTGCAGGGCATGTCATGACATAGTTGTATCAGAGCCGATCCCCAGCCGAAAATGGGGGCGTGCACAAGCCCACGAAGGACTATAAGCCAGGGAGGACGTTGAATCCCAAGAAGGGTGATTGTGATGTCCCACTGAGAGTAGATGTTATTGACACTTATATGTGTACACATCTCCCAATTGTGTAGACTCATTTTGAGAAAAACATAAAAAAAAAAAAAAAAATTTGCAAAGCGAATAACATCTAAACAGGTGAGCGGGTCGTGACACTATATCTTGCCCTACAATTGGACTGGACTAATTGATTGGGGGTGGTTCTAACATTTGCTCCAGTGAGAACTCTTTTCTCATCTACAAGCTCATTCTCTCCTTTGTAATTTACTCATTTGGCTACCTTTTGGAAAAGAAAAAAAATTACACATTTGGCTTGAAAGGAATACTAGGCGTTCAAGAAATACCATCTTAGCTACAAGAAGTCATTGCCTTGATCAAAGAGTTTAAAAGTAATAGATTAACTTCAATCAAGCTGCAGAGTAATGATGGAACGACCCACTCCACCACATGGTATGATATTGTCCGCTTTGAGCCTGAGCCTGCACGATTTTGCCCTTGGGCTTCACCCCAAAAGGTCTCAAACCAATTGGAGATGACACAATTACATATAAGCACTTCACCTTTCCTCTACCCAGGCGATGTGGGACTGTGCACCCGTAACTCGCCAGTGTGGTAGCCTGATAGTGTCTCTTGCATCCGTCCACGGCACACTCGCCCACAGGGTCATCACAATCCACCCACCTTGGAGGTCTGATGTCCTCGTCGGCACACTTCTGGCTGGGTCAGGCTCTGATACCATTTGTAACGACCCACTCCACCACATGGTATGATATTGTCCACTTTGGGCCTGAACCCGCACGGCTTTGCTCTTGGGCTTCACACCAAAAGACCTCAAACCAATTAGAGATGACACACTTACATATAAGCACTTTACCTTTTCTCTACTCAGGCGATGTGGGACTGTGCACCCGTAACTCGTCAGTGTGGTAGTCTGACAGTATCTCTTGCACCCGCCCACAGCATACTCGTCCACAGGGTCATCACAAATTATGTGCTCTGGCAAATAGAGAATCACTGGGATCTTCATTAAGCTTTCTATCCACGGAAACACAATCGAATATGCTCAAAGATGTCTCAGATTCCTAAAGCCTGGCAGACTGGCAGTGTTAATTGCCTTTGCTCTTCTGTGTGTACTTTAATTTTCTTAGCACTTAGCAGTAGCTATGTTTATTGTTTCATAGCAGTTGCTATTGTGTTCCCAGGCATAAAATGGCTTGTTCGACTCCTTGTGAGTATTTCTGTACATTCTTCTTCTATAGTACTTCCCCATTTTACCCAAAAAAAAAAAAATACTTGCACTAATTTTCTAGGAGCACCCCAATTCAACGCAACTATAAATAATATAACTAATCAAATGTAATTGAAAATGCTTTAGAGTTGGAATCACATGTAATTTCCGGAGCGTTTACAGTAATATTTGTGTCACAACTCATAAGCATACTATTTTTCCACTAAAATAAAATTTGATGAGAACAGGCCCTTAGTGATGGACCAACCAATTTTGAAAGAAAAAGGTGTGCGAAAATGCAGTATTTTAAGACTATAACCAGAAAAGATGCGTTCGTTAATGCTCAAGAGTGGTGGTGGTCCTGGTGGACCTTGTCAAGTAAGTACAAGTCAAGTTTTTTGTCGATCTTTTGATTTGAAAAAAAAAAAAAAGGATTACATAAAAATATATTTTACATTCTCAAGCTTATCATATAACATATAACATCAACCAAATGATACATTTTTATTCCTATCATTTATTTGGATCCCTTCTAGTTCATAAATCAAAACAAGTAGTTAAAAGAGTATATTAGTCCAAAATACAGGAAAGTATCAATAAGAACCTAAACAAAGTGCAGACCACTCTTTATATTCTTCCCTGTCGTGTACCCAAAGAAAAATTGTATTAGAAGAACTTTAATATGTGAATTAGCAGCGCAGATTATCACCAGGCGCGACACCAAGTTCATTGCAGTAGTCTGTATAATACCCTACACGAGCGTTAACAGTGTCAGGGTTTCCACCATCACATTCAAGAGCACCATTGATGGCACGGATGGTTGCCCCGAACCCTTCTCCGATGACAGGGTGAACAAAGGTCATCCAATACCATAAGGCCGTCTTGAATGACACAAGTACGTCTGAAGCCACAATGTCAGGGTTGTTTAGTCCATCAAATCCGATAGCTTTTCCGGCTGGACCATAATTAAAGTTCCATGATAGCTGAATAGGACCTCGGCCATAATAACCCTTGCCTGTTACACATGGATACTCTGTATTGTCTTCGTCGCAGTAGTCCTTAGAGGGACCATCAATCTCTTCAGTATAGCAAAAATCTGCACAAAAAAAATGGATATAATTTGCTTGTTATATTTATGTTTTATAACAATAGTTTATTACTGATATATGATGTTCATTTTACTATAGCAAAGCTCTAAATATCAACTTCATTCTACTTTTATGTGCATGTCTATATATTATTAATGCACACACATATTAATTCTATGCCAACACTTGTATCAAAATGTGCTACAATCCTCTTGAGAACTTTATGATTCGCAGGGTATAATCGTATATGTAGATGTAGGTATGTGTTATAAACTCGTGGAAGTCAAAACTTATGATATGGCAAGACTTTCTCTATCAATGAGAAATATATATATATATATATATATATATTTCTTAGGATACTTTGCTTAGCATTTTGCTTGTGCTTAGGATACTTTGCTTGGTAGTTGGTAGATCTTTGCTAAAGCTTGGTGTCACTTTCCCAAGGCTGTCCCTCATCACCCTCATGTTTGTAAAATTCACACACCTTAAAAACTGAAATTAGTGACTTTATTTTTATATTACTTTTTTCTAAATTTCAAGCAAGTGCACACCATTACAATATTACTCTTAACAGACACTTAGCATCTCCTTTGACGAAGAGAGATCATACATCTGAACTAGTGCGTTTTCAACATGTATCAAGTGTTTGGTTGTCAATATTAACAGTACTTTTACCATGATATGCAACAACCCTCTTCAAAAGCTACTTATGAGTTTGTGAATCGATGTATATAGACACATACGTGCAATGCACTAGCATAGAAATTTGTAAATCTATCTACCTATAAGATTCTATATATATATATATATATATTTAGAGAGAAGTAATGAAATCTTACGTCCAGTTTCATGTGTCACATGTGCAAAGAAAGCTGCGATCTCACGCTTGGAATCATCAACAGAACCAGTGGTGCCAAATTGAGAGTAAGAATTGGCAGCTTCAAGAAATGCAGCTCTGGTGTAGAAGTTCTTTCCGACGCAATTCGCAGCGGCTACGTCGATGATGGCATTAAAGAACGGGTCCGTCACAACATCAGCAACCACGACGCCACTACTAGGACTGACATAGCAAGGCCCCTCTTGGCAACCTGTGCCGCAATAGTCATTGCCAGTGCCACAGTAGCCATACCGACTACAGCATTGGTCTGCGGCGCAACCGCAGTTCTGACCCACCACTGATTCCGGCAGAGATCCGAGGAGGATTCCGGACAGAATGATGGTGAGTAAAGTGTTTGCTAAATTGAAAGCAACCATTTTTGGAAAGAATTGGTGTTAGAATTAGAACAGAACTGAGTGGTGTACCGATAAGGTTGAGACTTGGGAGATATTTATAATGTGAAGTCAATGGAAAGAGCCAAGCAAATGGTATGAACAGTATGGTTGTTGCAAATATTTTGACCCGCAATTTTCTAGAAGAACATACTAATGCGTGAATGGATTGGTCAATGTTGACTTTGACTCTTCAATAGGGGGATTTCCTTAAGAAAATTTATTTTGAAATAATTTCTCATGGAGGATAAGTAATTAGTGAGCATGAAAATAATGTCCAAAATATAAATTTTGGAAGTTGGTATGTATATATATATATATATATCTTCATGGATCATCCATTTCATTAGGATGGTGAATTATTGGGCTAGTAGCACTAAGGTTCTTAATTAATTAGGTGTCTAATCAAAGTATAGTAAATGAAGTATGGATTACTTAATAAATTAGCATCATACAACTTTTAATTTATGTAATTAAGGACTAACATAATTATAATTTAATATTTTGAAGTCATGCATATGCTATCATTACTCTTGGAATATTTGAATCCCCCGTCTTTTATTTTAAAAAAAAAACTAATTTGAAGCCTTTTTTTATTTGGAAAATTATTGGGAGCCTATTTGAATTTGATGTTCCTAGAATTTGCATGGCTTAAATTGCCTGAAACGTCATCTACTTTAATGGAGTCATTTATTAAGAGGAAATTATATTGTCATTACCTAGTGGCCTAGTGTAACAGGGTCATTCGTCTCACGTCGAATCCAATGAGAAAGTGATTCAGTATAAATGGGTGGGTATGCAGCACTATTCAACAGTTTGAACTTTTGAATAAATGCGCAAGCACCCACACGTTACACCTAGTATAACAAGGAAAGTTAACATCCAACCCATATATATTCCTATTCATTTTTTTATCTGGATCCCACGTGATTCAATATAGGACAAGTTTCCTCTTGTTACATTCTCCTTCACTGGATCCCACGTGATTCAATATAGGACAAGTTTCCCCTTGTTACATTCTCTTCCACTCGAACTTGTAACAAAAAACTCTTGTTACATTCTCCTCTACTCGAACTCGCAACTTCTTCATTGCGACTCTGGCCACCCTGCCTACCTAAAGTGCAGACTTAGATGCTCTCTAAGTCGGGCATTTGTAGTGATACCGAATTAAGGATTAAGTCATTCGGTGGTGCCAAATTAATCTTTTGAGTAAATAGGTAAACACTCACTCATTACAGTTGGTAGAAGAGCCATTCCAGGTAGGCAATGTTGCGGGAGCCGCTACGAATGCATTGCAAGTTCGGATGAAGGAGAATGTAACAAGGGGAAGCTTATCCCACATCGAATTATGTGAATGGGGATATATATGAATTGAGTGTTAGCTTCACCTAATAGTTTAAGTAGGTGTGTCCGTATTTGAGTCTCCACTCTCTCAAATTGTATTTACCCTACCTTTTCCCAAAAAAATAATAATAATAATAAAGAAAAAAAAATCCAGATTATCGTATAGAATACATCTTTTAGGAATTTAAATAATGAATGGATGAATGTTTGAAATTTTTTTTTTTTCGATTTCACACATAGGATCTTTTAATTAGGAATCACTGTCACTTTCACTTCCATATAGACTCAAGTTAGCTAACTCTTTTTCATATAAGACATAATAAGCTCATACCCCAAAGTCAACAATAGCACCACGGTAACGCAGCTCACCCCGCAGCCCCTTCATCGCTAATTTCGTACCGCCGCCCTATGGGCACTTCTAGAATTACTTCATGTTGTGTTGGATCTGCTTACATTGTATTTCTCACAACAAACAAATTTTAATGACGTAGAAAAATCTTACCCATGTTTTGTTTTCATGTAACAAAACCTAAATTTGACTTTTAAAAGTCAAATTTCTCAATCTGAATCGCAAGAGGGTGTTCAAAAGATTGGTAAAGCTGATAGAAAAACTTGCTTAAGTTTGACAATTTCACAGAAAAAATTATATTCCACTTGGGCACCACCGTCTAATTTGTCCAAGGCCAAATATCCCAAGCGCCGGATGCGTTAGGGTGGATTTAAATGTCCCTTGTATTCAGATGGTCTAGATTACCATTTACACAAATTGCAATCTCTCATAATTGTGTTTTATTTATTTATTTTATTTTTTATAATGTTGGCAAGAAGTTTTATACCATTACTTTGTTTAAGGAAAAATTTGAACCTTCAAACGATAACCTTTGGTAATCTCTAAAGTCATTGATGTACTTTTTATTTCATGTCATATACATGCACATATATGACATATTATATAATATAATTATTACAAAGTTTCTAGAACACCATGCAATTGAAAATTGCTTTAGGTCAAAATTACACGTATTCTTCCCTTTAATTAATGTAGTAGTTGATGCAGACCGATCCTAGTGATAGACCCACTAATTTAATTGGAAAGAAAAACGTCCTTAGTGATGGACCCACTAATTTAATGGGAAAGAAAAAGAAGTATGAAATGGCAGTATTATGAGACTATAACCTTAATGGGACGACCTTTTTTTTCGTTAATGCTCAAAGGGACGAGTGGTCAGTGCCAGACCATGTCAAAATATTAAAGTCAAGTCCGTGTAGCATTCTCATCCTCTTTTGTTTTAGAGTTAATTATAGTGACACGTCCTCAACGAAAGACGTAAATGAAAATTACAATAAAGAGTAAAATGACACTCTTACTAACTTTTCGTTACTTAGCAATAGAGAGTATAAAAACGCATGAAATGTCATATATGTTCTGGCTTACAAAAGGATACAAGGAAATGATCCGAATACTTACATTTAACGTTTTAACCAACCATCTCCCTCTTTTCAAATGATCCTATTTCTCCCCTAGCCCACCTTCAGGAGAATATATTCAATATGCATGGTAGGCCGTCAGGATTGTCTGTTCCTACTCATACTGTGCACGAACAAATATGATGTGCTTGGTGTGCACCGGGCCATTAGAGTCGTCCATTCCCACTCGTATTGTGCATGAACGAATATGATGTGCCTGGTATGCACCAGGCCATTAGAGTCATTCGTTCCCGAGCATATTGTGCACGAACGACTATAATGTGTCTGGTGTGCACCGGGCATTAGAGCTGTCCGTTTCCACACGTGTTGTGTACGAATGGCTCTGATGTGCCCGGTGCACCGAATACCTTCTCCACCATCGGTTACCCTTGTCTCTCCACCAATGCCATCGCCGACCATCTCTCTCTCTCACACACACAAGCTCACACATATAATAAAGGGTAACTTTGGAAGATTAGGCTGTTGCAGACAGTTTTAGTGATATGTTTGATGAATGCGCCAAAATATTCACTACAATTGACAATTGGATTACATGGATGTGAAGTCCGAACTCTAAATCGTGTAAGGCCATTCATATAATTTGCATATATTTTCTTTGGAGAGGGAGGAATAGACGCCATTTCTCCAGTAAGCAAAGCTTTTCTAGCCTCTCTAAGAAAGATCATGTACAATAAAAATCCATAGTAGATAGATCGATGGCTTGCAAACTCCGTGACTGTAAGTAGTGGCGTAGCGACAGATAGGGGTGCACAAAAATTCGGTCAAACCGAAAATCCAAATCGGACCAAACCAAACTGGATAGTTTGATTTGGTTTGCTAATAGTTTGGTTCGGTCACAGTTCTAAATTTGTGAAACCGTAAAGATACGGTTTGGTCACGGTTTGAGGTCTTTTAGGACCGAACTAGACCGAACCGAACCGTTATGTTATATATATAATATAATATAATCCTACAATCCAAATCAATTAGAAATTTGTAACAACTATCAATTTTATGGTACACTCTTAATTCTCTTAGATCTTATCAATTTATTAGATGATTTTTTTTTTTTTTAAAATATTTTTTAGTTATATAGTTGCTAAAATTTGAATTGTGACGGATTCTTTGTTGTTGATTAATTCGTAATTTGAAAAGTATTAGGTTATTAGCAATTATGAATTTATTCACTTCAGTTCCAAATGTGATAGAGAATAATGAATTGAAAGTTCTGAATATATTAATAGTTCTGAATGTGTTGGTAACTTGATTTATTGTTTTGCATTTAAATATGAATACTTCGGCTACCAAAAAAAAAAAAAAAAAAAGGGAACCGTAGAACCGAACCGAACCAAATCGGTTTTTTATGATTTGGTTTGGTTTGGTTCATTTGGTCAAATGGTTCAGTTTGGTTCTAAATTTTATGAATCTGTTATAATTGGTTTGGTTCCAAAAACTCTTAAATCTGTCCAAACCGAACCATGTTTACTCCTAGCCACAGAGGGGCAAGTGGGGGCAACTGCCCCCACTGAACTTTTATTTTTTTAAAATTTTATATGGAAAGATTTTTATATTTGTATTGTTACCCCTTTTAAAATTTGACAGTGCACACATAATATACTTTATATATATATATATATAATCAAAAGTCCATTCACAGGAGGAATATAATCGTGACACAATTGTAAATATATATAATATATCTATCAATTTATACTTTCTCAAAAAATATGATATTTTTTTTTTCACTTTTCCAAAATATTATATTCTTTACCACTTTCCATCAAGATATTCTACCACACTTTTTGACTTTACCATAAACAGATGGATGATGTCCATCATATCTTTATCTTCAACATTTTCCACAATCCAAACAAAACCAGCTAAACAACCATGAAACAACCATTTATCAGCAGACAAAGGCTTAGTCAATCATACTGCAGTGCGGCAGACAAGTAATTTGATATATATATATTTTTTATATTCTAAATTTATTATTATTTTATATTATAATTTTAATTAGAAAAATTATTAGTTATTAGTATCAAAATTATTTTAGGGCTTGTTGTTCTGTTAAATTTTAGTTTGTGTTTTTATTTTTTTCCCATATGTGATATATTGGAACAGTTAAGTAACTGTATTATTTTCTTTTTCATATCTTATTCTTGATTCATTGAATATGATTTTTTTTAGTACATTTAATTGAATGAACTCAATTTTGAAACAAGAATGAATAATC